CTGGACTGGTGGAAGGTGTCCCTGTCCATGGCAGGGATGGGAACAAGATGAGCTGTTTAGGTCCCTTGCAGGCCAAAGTGTTCTGAGTCTGTGACACACAGGGATTCCATCTTTCAGTTTATTTCTGACAGCATGGGAGCAAAGGGCAGTGGGTAACCTGTGTCCATGGCCCATCCTCCAGCAGGATGCTCCTTCCCCATGTCAGCCCTGCTGTTGCCTGCCCTTGGCTGTTGTCTCCAAATAAACTGCTTTGAAAAGTGAAATAGCACTTAGAGACTTTGAGAAGTGGTTTGATTTCACTGTTGGCTTTGGGAAGATGAGCTAGAGAAAGCTCGTGGATCTTCTCTGCAAGCAGCTGCTCTGGGCCCTTTGAAGTCTGCCTCAGAACAAATTTGCGCCTACTCTTGTCTCAAGTCTTTCCTCATTTGAATTGCAAAAGCTTCCAAGGAGGAAGAAAGGCAGGTCCCAGACTCCAGCAGGGAGGGGATGGTTTGATGATGAGGGAAAATCCAGCTCTAGGGCACCTTCTGCAGCTGAAAAGTGAGATTGTCCTGACACACACAACAGGTTAAACCCTCTGCTCTGCTCCCATTGTCCTCCTAAAAAATTTATAATATTAACAATACAAATAAAGCAAATACATAAGTATACATGTTTAATAAATAATTTTAAATTGATGAATTAATGAAAATTACATTAATAAATAATTAAATAATAGTAATTTTTACTGCTGATGGGACCTTTGCTTGGCTAAGTTGTCAAGATCCTGGAAATGCAAAGCTCAGCCAAGTCAGGTCCTGGCAAAAGCGAGAAGATGCTAAACCTGAGAAGCAAAGCTACTTAAAATTCCTTTTCCCCTGTTCTCCTCTGTTGGAAGCAGTGAGTTCCTTGTGGAAAGCCCTTCTCAGTCTGCTGCTGCAGCTCAGCTCCCATGCAGTGATTCCCATCCCTGCAGGAGCAGTTGCAGTGACTAATGCAGCCAGGCTGGGTCTGGGTTGTGCCGAGCTAAACCAAGCAGAGTATTTATAGTGCACTTAATAAAGGTGGGGGCTTTGCTTTCATTCCTCACTCTGCTCCTCAGCTGTTGAATGAAAACCTGCCCACGCCGTGCTCTCCTGTCTTTGCTTTGGGAAGGGAATAACTGGAGCTGAGCTGCTGTCAGGACTGGATTGTGTGTGCCAGTGCTGAGACACTGAGCTGTGCTCCAGCACTGCCCTGTCCCCTTGCCTGTCCTACCCCCTTGTGCCCACAAGGTAAACTTGCACTTCCAGAAGCCTCAAAATTATATTTTCCAAGCATGGCAAAGCATCAGGGGAGCTTTAAATGACTTTTGCCACAGTTTTTGAGTAAATGGAAATGGATTTGGGGTAAACATGTATTCTTCTTGTCTGAGGTTTCTTTCCATTGCTGCTGGGTAGTGGAACTGACTCAGGAATAACTTGCAGTAAGAAACAGAACTTCAGTGCTGATGGAATCAATGCTTTTAAGAACCCCTGGGCTCTGCTTGTCCAGCCTGTCCCTCTTCAGTGCTCTAGAAACTCAGTTACACTCAGTTGTGGTGGAAATGTACTTCCCAAAATGCCTTTGAAGGTCTTCTCAGGGAACTTCTGACATGGTTGGTGGTACAAGGCAGGTGAGGTCGATGAGGTGGTGATGGATGTGGCGCTGGTGTCACTGTGAGGAGGGAGCTGCCCCATCCTGGATGCTCAGAAACGCTTGGCAGGGTTTGGGCAGCACAGGTGAGGTTTGCAGGTGGTGTGCACCAAGCATCAGATGTCAAACCAGAGCTCTGTGTCCCAAACCCAGAGGCCTCCATCACCTGCAGGACACCCAGCAGTTGGGGAGCCTTGCCAGAATCACGTGCCCTGTAGAAGGTTTTTTGGGATGAAAGGCTCTAAAGTGGGGCCTCTCCAGCACCACAGGAAAGCTCTGCAGCTCCCAGTCCAGTTTTCTTTGAACCCTTACATACTTTATGATGGAAAAAGACCTCATCCCCACAGATGATATTTTTATTTTTGATTGGGCAAGAATGCACCTGCCAGGATCAGCCTTGCTTGTGGGGTGTTGTATCTGCTCTTAGAGGCTTCCTGTCCCTCACCAGCCTGGTGCTGGACCCCACTGGGAAGCTGTTGGGAAGGGCTGGTTTTAGGCAGTTCAAGGGATCTCGAGGAACCTGCAGGAGCAGGGAAATTTGTGTGTGCCCTGCACAAGACCTGTGTCACCTGGTACAGTATGTCCTCCTGGTGGGATGTGGAAGGAGAAAAAATCCTCCTGGGAGTGCAGAGGTCTCCACAGTTCAGTTTTTCAGATGTGGCACAATGGATAAAGGAAGGAGAGCTGCATGGAAAGATCTTTTACATCCCATTTGTTGGACCAAGAGAGGTTTCTCTGTTAGCAAACGAGTTGCATTATCTTCTACAGCTTTCATTATAGGACAATAACTTCCCAAATTAGGAGTTCTCCCTACCAGCTAATTACACCCTAATGATCTCATTTATCCTGGAGGAAGCTGTTCCAGCTCGCTGCAGGTGCACACAGATGCTCTCTCCTGATGTAAACCCCTCTCTGAAACCTTGCTGCTGGGAGTGAAAACACATTTTTGTGAGCGTGGGGATTTCTTAATTGGCTGTCTGGAGGGATTGCCAGTGTCCATCCCACAGCATCTGGGATGTGTCTGGGAGCCTCTTCTGCTCCAGGGGCTTGGTCCCCTGAGCTGTGCTTCCACCCCAGCACTGGGACAGAGCCCTTGGGAGTGGCTTCATGCTCCCATTGGGGTTTTTACAGTTACAGTCCCATTTGCTGGCATTAATTTGGGGATAACAACGAGGCAGAAGTGTTTTGAGTGGCAGTTGTGAGTTTGGGATGCAGTTCATGAACCATGTGCTGAGAGAAGCCCAGGATTGTAAGGAATGACCCAGTAGTTAAGTGTGTTTATTCAGCAGTGCCAGATACATGCTTCCCTGAAGATGCTTTGATATCAAGAGGAGTTGGGGTTGAGTTTGTTTTTGTTTTGTCAGGACTAATTTAAAATTCCTTCATCGGGACATTGTTTACAACCTATAAACTACCCCAGAAATGTAGTAGTAAGAAAAGTCAGGCAAGAAAGCTGATGGGGATTAACGTTTTCTGAATGTTGGTGCATTCCCTGGGAAAGCTTTCAGCTCTGATGCCTTTATCCTTCTCCCCATTTCTTCATTTGCAGGAAGCGTGACGTCATGCAGAACATTATGCAAATCTTGGAGTCGGTCCAGTTGAAGTGGGAGCTGTTTCAGAGCTGGACGGACTTCTCCAGGCTCCACCTTTCCAACAAACTGGCCATTTTTGGCATTGGCTACAACACCCGCTGGAAGGAGGATATCCGTTACCACTACGCCGAGATCAGCTCCCAGGTGCCCCTGGGCAAGCGGCTCCGGGAATATTTCAACTCGGAGAAACCCGAGGGTCGGGTGATCATGACCCGAGTACAGAAAATGAACTGGAAAAATGTTTATTACAAATTCCTGGAGATCACCATCAGCGAAGCCCGATGCTTGGAGCTGCACATGGAGATCGACTGGATTCCCATCGCTCACTCCAAGCCCACTGGAGGGAACGTGGTGCAGTATTTATTACCAGGAGGGATCCCAAAAAGCCCCGGCCTGTACGCCATTGGATATGAGGAGTGCCACGAGAAGCTCCCCTCCCCTCTGGCCGAGCACCGGGCGCCCGACGCCGGCAATGAGACTCCAGGGGAGCTGGAGGTGCCCTCCCCACAGGCCTCCCTCCGGGTGGATATGGAATCCGCCCGGATTATCTACTGTTACCTCGGCATCGCCGAGGTCCGGACTCTCCAGCAGTGCCTGTTTTTACACTTCCAGGCAAACACCAAAACCTTCAGCAAAGATTGGGTCGGGATCAACGCCTTTTTATCTCAGAACTGCGTCGTAGAGCCCGGCGTCTCACCCAAATCCATCTACATCAAATTTGTGGAAGTGGAGAGGGATTTTCTGTCTGCCGGCTCTTTGGTAGAGTGCCTGGAAAAAGCCATCGGGTACCCCTTAAAATTTAACAACTGAGTCTCGTCCTTCATAAGGATCAGGGCTTAGCGCCCCGTTTTCCATCTCACTGGGATCCCCCGGGGCACGGGGACGTTTCGGCCTCCCCTGTGCGGGGCTGGCAGCGCCCGGCCCGGGGGCGGCCTCGGTACATTCCACACACGGGACAGTGCACACGGCGCCTCCACACCGCCCCCGAGGGCCTGGGCTTCCCTCTATCCCACGGTGTCTCATTTGGATGCATCCGTCTCGAAGTGTTCCTCTGGATCTGACTCAATAAGCAATAGATAACGGCGAGGGAAAACCCAACTCCCAGCCCGGGACTGTTTTTCAAAGTCACCCTTAGATACCTTGTATATAATTTAGGACTTCACTTTTTTCACCATCGAGTGTTCTCCTCTCTCCAAACAGTGTTGCCTGCAAAGACTTTGGGTTCTGTGACGTATTCCACATCCTTAGTAGCGTTGCCATATCTGCTTTTATTTTATTTTATTTTATTTTTATAACATTAAAATAATTCCTGGCTTTTTTATTTTTTCTTTATTTTTTCCTCACTATTTTTTCCCTATTTTTCTCTTTACTGTCTTTTTTTAATCTTTTTTTTCCTCTTATTTCTCTCCTTTTTCTCTTCTTTTTCTTTTTCTCTCTATTCCTCTTTTTTCTTTTTTTATCTTCTTTTTGTCTTGTCTTTTTTGTTTGTTTTTTAAATTT